ATATGTGTTAAATTAATCTAAACATAAGGGCTTATGGCCATTTCCGCATAACACTTCTAGAAATTTCTATTGGTAGTTAGCTTTTGAACATGAATGTTTCTATGATTTAGAATAGTCTTCTTAATTGGGAGTAGTGTAGTTTTGCTATAATTTTAGTGACTTTAGGAACGTTTTCACATATTATTTTATTTAGTTGTGCACATTGACATGAAAGGAGCTATATTACAATTTATTTTGCATAGTTTCACATTTTTAGCTACAGGTAGCTCTTTTTATTAAACTAAATTTTTTATGTTTATAGATAATTGTTCTCAAATGTTAAACTCAAAATAATATTTATATACTAGATTATTACCTACAGGCTTTAAGTGATGCTTCACGCTACACAATCATGTCATAAATGTGTTTACAAACATAATATTATTCCCATAAGCAAATACTTAGGGCTGTCCGATTGTCAGATTATTATACAATAGATTGTTAAAAATAATGAAATGTTTGATTAATCGAATATTTTCTTCAATAAGAGCTAGAGTGCTTAATTGTTGAAATAGTTAATCGATTCATCTTTTAAAAGAACCAATAATTTTTCTATTAAAACAATCAATAAATACAATCAATTGAAGTTTAACAGTTTAAGTATAGCTGTAAGTATTATGATTCTTGTCAGGGTTATGGTTTACCATCATTAAAGGTATTTCAAATGCAATGCAATGATTTATCGTTAGGTTAAAATTTAATACTTTTAAAATACTAAAAATTATTCAAGGTATTCTGTCTGATGAGTAGAATGATGATAAATACAATTTGGTAACTGACATAAAAATTACCTACCTGACTACCTATGTAGAGGTGGCTCTTACTGATTTTAAACACATATTAAATAAATTAATAAAATTATAACAATATATTTTTTATCCATATTAATAGTTTATCTTGATGTTGATATTGAGGTATCCAGTATTATATTGCCCACTAGTATGAATAGTATGCTAAATTGATACCTACATGTGTGATTATTATTATTATATTACACTAAGTATAGCCAGTTAGGATAGTATGGCCAATTAGGTACCTACATTAGTATATATATATGGCTACACAAACTTAATTGTGGTCATATCATTTTCAAACACTAAGATGTATTCTATTATGTATTGTATCATTTTTTTCTGAATAGTATAGTTTTTTCTGGAAAGCTTTAGGTCTGAGTAGTTTTAGCCAATATGAATCCCTCAAAACCGCGACTACCATGTGGAATAACTAGAAACCTGTAGTGCCACAAATTTTATGATCTAATGGGGTGTCAAAATTAATCCAAATGCCCGAACATGAATTGTGTAGTTCTTATTAATGATTGATTAAAAATGTTAAGTTTATTTTGAATGAATAATTCAATTTTTTTATCAATTATATAAGCATTATTGAGTTATTTTTGGGCATTAAAACCCCAGGTGTAATTATTGTGTAATTTACAAAAATTATAATTATTAACTATATTAAAACACTTTTAATTTATTCTGTGTTTATACTAACATAGAAGGTATACTTAGAAGGTTAAGAAGGATACGTTTTAGTCTGTTAAAAATTATATCACAAGTCATAAGTTGTAAGTTTTTATCAGTTACATCTTTTAACTGTCATAATATAAAACTATTGTCAATTAATTTTTATTTTTAAATTTAAAAAAATATTATAGCCAAGTGCTCACAAGAATATTATATAAGTTATTTAAAAACAAGGTCTTGGGAGGGGTTATATCCCTATATCCCCCCCATAATTTTGCCACTGGGTTATAAGCATCCTAAATCTAGTTATGAATGGTGATTTTTGTTTGGACCATTTGTATGTTTTGTTTGTTATTTTATTTTTTCATTTTTGAGAAACTAAAGTATACCATTTGATGAGTTTTGATCTAGAAATGTATTGGTTAGTCCTTACCAATGTTATCGCGGCCACACAATTTGGTTACTTCTTTATACAATTTTCTTACTGTATCTAATTCATAATTTGGTATCTCACGTTCAATGGCTATCATTACTAAATACAATTTACGATATGCTGGCTTCAACTCTTTTAGTTCATTAAATAGGTCTCGAGCAGCATCTATGCCTTTTAACTTCCTGCACCATTCTAAATATCTAGGTCTGATTTCCAAAGAAAGTCTTTCGTTGTAAAAATTTTTTGAACCTTTTGTAGCTGCTTTAAGTAATGTTTCAACCTATAATAATATTAAATTATATAATAAGTACATGTAATATTGCATTTATATTTTATTGTGTTTTTATTTTTTTATTGATCATATTAATTATATTTGAATTCATAATAAGTAATAGTTTAATGATATTTTCATTATCTGATTAGTGTCGGGTTGCATGAACAATCACTAAGCATTTAAAGAATCAATAGTGAGCTATTTGTTCCCTAGACATAATTTAGTGGCTTATGATTGGTTCATTAAATTATTATATTCTACCGTTAAATTAATACATTTTTCATGCAACATAAGTGATTTGACTGAATTTTTTAAAAAATAAGAAGTATAAAGTTGTTTTACAACACAATATATTCAAAAACAAATTAAAAATAAATATATAATGTAATTTAAACATTAAGTATACTGCTTTTCCTCTAGCAGCTGTCAGATGCTTCTCCTACCAAGTCAACCACCAGGTTCAGCATTTGTAACAAAACCACGCCCATGCTCACAAGTCAACCACCAGGTACCTCTCTTATCTTGAATATAGTATAGACATAATTTTTATTAAATAAATTGTAAAATAATATTAAATATCAGTGGCTGTGATCCACTATCAGTTATAACTTACATTATGTTATGAATATCACTTACTCTTTCTGGATGCTTATATCGCAAATGTCTAATTAAAATCTCCCATAAAGGTAGTGAATCATTTAATGCACAAATGCCTTTACTAAAAGCATACAGCAGCTTATTAATATCTAAGCTTTGTAAATTCAAATGGAGCTTTATTAGTTGTATCCAAATATTTTGATTATTTTTATGCTTAATAATAGCCAATAAAATATCTAACTGATCTGCATTTAAGCAGCTTACCTAAAAAAAATAATTAAGTGATATAACTTATTGGTTATTATTATTATTGGTATACATAGCTATTAACCCATTTAGTAATAAAAAAAAACATTTTGTGAAACTTATTTTAAGTGAATAACTAAGTACCTTGACTCAAATTTGTTATTTAAGTCATTTCAGTTCAAAAATCCAATTACAGAAACGAACAATTAGATTAATAAAAAAACTATAAATAAAAATAATAAATATACTTAAAATGTTACCCACATTAAATTCACAAACGTTGATAAGCAAAGTTAACAGTTCCTCTTCAATGGGAAACAATTCATGCATATGTTGAAACACGATAAAAACGTTTTTTAACAAAAAGACTAGTATTTGAATGTCAACAACCTCATGAGTATTGCCCAACTCCTATTAAATAATAAAAATGTTAGTATCGTACGTACACCATATTCAAAACATCGTTATGGTCATTAATAAAAAAATTACTTTGATTGAGCAAATTACTTTGGTTGAGCAAACTCAACTCTACTTTAAAATGCAACAGCAACTCACGCTTAGTGATAACCTTATCGACGATTTTTTTATTGACTGATAAACGTTCTTTATTCAGCATCCTAAACAAAAAAAAAAGGTAAGTTTATTTACTTACACAATGATTTATTATATTTGCACAAAATACACCAGTGTGTATTTACATGTACTCGTCCCATTGCATAATGCCATATTTCTTCAAAAATGTGGAATCCATTTTGTTAGGATGACTAGCTGTTACGAAGGTTTGTTCTTTTACAAATGAGAAAATTAAAATTATTAAAGTAAAAAAAGCTAAGTTTTATGTATTAGTTAATAATAGTAACTAAATTGTTAGTCTTAACTCTTCTAGTCTTTTGTAATCTACAGTCTACAACTCCACAAACTTCAGTTCTCTCTACTCTTTGTTTGTTTTCTCTCTCTCTCTCTCTTGTTTACTCTCTCTAAACAAAAACATAATATACATTTGTTCCATGAGTAGTTACTTCTTTATCATAAAACTAATAGATAGCGCTTGGAGAGAGAAGTCAGGGGTACAATATACAGTGAGTGAGAAAAGAAACAAAGTAGTGAAATGTATACAGTTCCTTATGCCGGCTCATTTACTACTCTGTGTTCTTTCTCTCTCAGTTATAATATGGTTATATCCTAACCTATCATTGTTGGCGGATGGACTGGAAATCCTAATCACCAAATCTTAATGCACCTATCTGGTATTTATTAAACAACAAAAACATAACAATATACAGTTCTAAATTTTTTTTATAGAATAACAAAATAATGTTAAAACTTTTTCAATTGAACTAACTTCAATCAAAAATTGGTGAAAATTAAAAAATTAAATATATTTAAACAAACTTAGTCATAACACTACTGTCTTGTAACATACCTATATAAGCAAAATAAAAATAACACTGAAATAAAATGACTGATCACTATGTTGAAAATTAATAATGAAAATAAATGCTATAACAATTAAAGTGATAAATGCCAAGACGAACGGTATCGTTATCGTGAGCACACTAATCGCAAAAGCGTCCAAGACAAACGCACCCTTACTCTTATTGGTAGGAAATAATTCAGTTTGAGATATCTTTGGAAATAAAAAAGCGATTTTTCTGATCAAAATATAGTATTTCTTCCATAGAACTTCTTCCATGGAAAATCTAATTTTTGATAAAAATGGACATACCCGGTTGTTGCACTGGACATTGCGTTTGCGGTTAGTATCAATACGAGTATGAGGGCGAAAAAATTATTGGGCGTCATTTGTGTCGTTTAACAGCTATTGGACATCTGCTTTTGTTCTATTGACAACTAATGATATCCCAATTTTAGTTGGATGCGCTAATTTGGGAGGCAAATTAATTTATTTGGATTGAATCGGAATCGTGAGCATAATATAATCATGTCCTTCTTGGTGAATCCGTAAGTATTAATGGCCGACTGTTGAATATTGTATGTTTTTATAATAATCGTGTACTAATTGCAGGTCCACAGAAGAAGAAGAGGAAGACAATCTGACCGAAGATGAACCCAACGCTACTACAATATCCGTAGACGACAAAAATCAAACATTCAATTTGGCTGCCCTAAACCAATTTTGGCCCAAAGCAATCGAGGAAATCAGAAAGATTGGAACAGTAAGTTTATTCATTCTATAAATTATTTTTGGTTGTGACTGAGCAGTTTTTTTTCGAATTTTGTTTAGTTAGACTTATTAAAACCACAAGCATTACCACTAACTAGAATAAAAAAAGTGATGAAATTAGATGACAATGTAAAAATGGTCAGTGCAGAGGCTCCAATGTTGTTCTCAAAAGCTGTGGAAATATTTATCAATGAATTGACTCTTTGGGCTTGGACTCATACCGAACACAACCGTCGATCGACGCTACAAAGAAATGATGTTGCTATGGCGATCACCAAGTATGACCAATTTCATTTTCTTATTGACATAGTGCCTAGAGAAGAAGCAAAAATTGTTCCAAAACAAGTTAAGACTTCGCTGAATCCCGAACAAGTAATTATCACTTATCAGTATTAATCTATAATTCTGTAAGGTATTTCACCAATAATTTATTATAGAATAAACAATTTTAAATAGGTATTAACTTTTCATATTATTTAAATTTATTTTAACCAGTTATTTTATGTGAAAATTAAAAAAAAACGCTGCTCGATATATTTTTTCCTCTACAAGGAAAATTTATAAATCATAAATATATTTTCGTTAATCAGTAACCTTGACAACAAAAACCTTAAGGAAAATTGGTCAGAAACATTTTATCGTGTTTCCAGTCCAAAAACATACTTATGTTAAAATTAAAGAATAACTTAACTTAATCCGATTACATGGTGATTTAAAATTATTTAGTTATGAAGTATAATTAACATCTAGACGCATATAGGAACGCATTGGGAAAACAGATTAACACTGGGAGCGCTGTCGACGCCTATCGTACTGATGGTTGGGCAGGTTCCCCCCTACATGGAGTCGGGACTCGAGTCGGGAGATTGTATGTATTTTCGCGGCATTTCGAATACATTTTGCTTTAAGTGAAGTGAATTTGAACGTATTTGATAATATTAGTAGAAATTATATTTACCAACATATACAGTTAGCTATAAAAGCGTATAAAGTTTCGATAGCAAAATTAATTTATTATAAAAAGTAAAATAACCAATATAAAACTATATCTATACAGTATACATCCCGAATTGGAAGTTACAAATTGTTTCCACCAGAGCGCGTTTTGTTAATCTGCTTCCCCAATAGACCGGAAAAATTGATGTTTTATGTTATCCGTCAATCAGCGGTTAAAAATATTTTTGTCTTGACATTTGAAAACACATTTTGAATATAATATATACAAATATTAAACAATAATGTATTCTATTTTTACGGAACATACGGGACGAGAATTTCATAATACGGGACATTTTTACGATATTGGATCTGTTACGGGGACAATGGGACACTGTCATGAATTACGGGACGTATGGCATCCCTAGTTTGAAAATATGCACGTGACGTCATAGAGCCAAAGTCGTCAGCGGCGTATGTTTTACGTGTAAAAGTGTCTAGATTAATACAATGATTTCAATTGTTAAAGATAATTTTTTTTATGTAACAAAGTGTTATAGTAAACTTTGTAAAATTTGATTTATATGGCTATACGACGTGAGTTGTGATCTCAATAATTTTACTTAATTATAATTTTTAATATGTATACAATAACAAGATATATTACATTTTAAATCACACCATCATCTTAAGCACAAACATATACTGAGGATTATGAAAAAAAAAATTCTGAAATACTATCGTAAGCTTTATAATCATTGTGTAATTCAAGCTACTATTACACGTAAAACATAGGCGGCTGCTCACTTGTAAGCTCTATGATGTCATGCGGTTCCCAACCTTGTCCTCCCAAATGACGCCACTACTGTTGTTTGATTATCGTGCAATTAATTTTTCAAGTTTTTATCAATTAATTAAAATATCATATTTTAGATTCTGAGCGGAGCAAGGAAGCTAGTGGTTTTACAATGGTGTTTATTTTTTATTTTTTATATCCTGTATACAAAATTTCTACCAGAAGGAGTGCTTTGATTTCAACATATAGTACCTTATCTTTTAGCAAATTGGACCAAGATGGTACTTTAGAGAGGTCATTTTTCGATTTTCTCAATAGTTATTTAATGCCACGGGAAAAAGTACTGAAAAATTACGAAAAACCGCTTAAAATGGGATTTTAATTTCTAACAATTTGTTTATCACTGTAGCAACAAATAAAAAAAATAATAATTAAATAAATAAAATAATTAATGACAATATTAAATATACAGACTGACAAACCGTCTCCGTTCAGAATCGTTTTTCTTATACAATGATATTATATCATTGAATTCAAGTTTAATACAATCCATTAAACAATGACCAACTTGTAACCTACTGTACAGCTGAGCGACATCCACTTATCTGCCTTTTTTTATATTTTATTTTGCATTAATTTAATTTAAATTTAATGCTATATTGTTAGTTTCTTAAATATATTGGTGCATACATACTTTGAGGTTTTAGAGTACTAGAAGTCCTCAGCCTTAGTAGTATTGTGTAAATATTTTATTTTGATGGAATAATATAATATATTTTTTAATTTGTGTTATTTTTTTACTTAGATTCCAAATAATACATCAAATATTACAAGTACTTCAACCACTGTAACAGGAAGTCAGCCACAAGTTATACAGTTACAAGGCAATACTCAGGCATTAAATACAAACTCAAATAGCGTACTTCAATTAATACAACAGGTTATTACTCCAACCGGAGAAATTCAACATATACCTGTAAGTGTAGATAATTGTTACCTACGTAGAAGTATATATTTTAAAAATAATATGGATCATGTACTCAAAATAATTCTTATTGGTCAAAAAAATGATTTGTAAACTTGTAAGCTTGTTAACTTGTTAACCTTTAAAAGAATTTTAAGTATCGTTTCAAAATAAAATTACTCACTTTCATGCATGCCTAGTGTTGTGAAAAGGGTATGATAGATAATATACCTTACTAATTATACATCTAGTACTATCTCAATGTTCAACAGCTTGTCATTGGAAAGATTTATGACAGGGGATATGTGAACACGACTAGTTTTCATTGGTCAAGTGGTTCAATTTAGTATAGTTATTTAAATAAATCAGCGTAGTCTGCATTCTACCAATGATTTATGTTCTAATATAGCTAGGATATTCGTATCATGATTAGTGAATTATTTATTATTTAAACCACTATACATCTGTACATCTTATAGTGTAAATTTTTTGTACTATGTAGTATAAAATCAATGCTATATAGGTTACAATAGCTTAGTTCATTTTTATGGTTTTTATAGGAAATTACTCCAACTAATATAGTAGATTAATAGTAATCAATTAAAATCAACTTTTAAAAATGTATAAGCATTTGAAATTTTTAGTTTTTTTTTCCATATTATGTGCTGATAAGAAATTTGTTGTGCTGTCAAAAAACTTGAATAATTAAAATGAATTCTCATAAGTTTTAATTGTAATGGTTTTAAAATTTTAAAATTTCATAAGCATAAATTTCTAAGTTTTTATGTGTTGACAGATTTCCTCAAAATCACAATCACGTACATTATGCAAATTAATTTGTAGTTAATATTTATACGATTTTAAAAAGTAATAGGTAGCTATGACTTAAAAATAAAACAAAACGCTCTTCATAAAATGTTTATACAGCAACTTTAAAATTTAAATTATACAGTAAATATTTGCTAAGACGGAATTGCTTAGGGATGTCCAATTTTTCACGGAGTTTCCGAATTAATGTGGTCCACATTCATTAAGTAGTATTTGAATCTCTACTAAATATATTGATTCAGTGCTATCCTCCTCCCTACCAAAGTTTTACTGTATATCATTTTTAGATTCTGAGTTGAACGAAAGAATTTATTGATTTTAAAAATGATGTGTTTTTTTCCTGTCTGTCATTACATTTTGGGGTAGTGAAAATGCTTTGATTTACTTCAGCATCTTTTCTGGTAAAAAAGTGAAAAAAGTTGGTACTTAAGGGGGTTAAAAATGAAAAGTTCCCAATAGTTTTTAATATCATCAAGAAAACAAGAATTTTGCTCCACATCGATTTTTGACAACATTTATTATTATTATTGGTGTAAGTCTAAAAAATGACACCGTAAACTTGAAATAATCACCGAATGTTTATATATTATTATAAGCATTTTCTATACATGATAAAATTTTCAAAATGTTTTTATTAGTATTGAGCTATTATTTATAGACATTTGTCATTTTAATTTTTTCATATAAATGTCGTAACAATTTTTTTTTTTGGTGAAATGCTTGAAAATTGCATACAAGATTCTTCATAAATTGTGTACAGCTGAGAAATAATCAAGATATTTAGGCACGTTTGTTTGCTCATTTTTAAGTATTAATAGTTTAAATTCATCAAAATCTCAGAAATGTACAAATTATTTTGTAGTTAATAAAATGTTCAATTTTTATAGCTAATGATTGAATATTTAAAATAAGTATTCTTATAAGTGGTTTAAATTTTATCCAACATATCTAAAAAAAAATATGTAAACACAGTTTTTTTATGGATATTTCAAGTTTAAATTTGGACAAAACTAGGTATTTTGTTATAATATTTAAACATATATTTTGTGGGCAATTGAATCTTTTAAAGTATATAATATTTTATACACACACTGACATTTTCAAATGCAATTTTTTTTGGCAAAAATGAATTTATCCTACTGTAGTACTAATGTCTATTAGTAAAATAATCCGAACAAGTTCAACAATTGTTCAGAATGGGTTTTGTGTTAAATGATTTATATTTAATTCAAATTTAACACGTCCATTACAGTAACCTACTGTGGTATACTTAACCTACTATACAGCTGAGAACATCTCCGGTTTTTTAAATATTACTTTGATTATTTAATTTTCATTTTAATTGTAAAATAACGAAATTTAATAAAATTTGGATGTTGGACCGCACACTACTTTTATTATTATTTTTATGAATATATTATTTTCCATAACCCTTATTAACAATTAGCATATTAGCATACTTATGGTCTACATTTTTCTGTTATTTAGATAAAGGTGCTTTTAAAAATGATTACAGTATTTTTTAAGTACTTTTTTTTTCTTTTAGTTACAAATTAACTTCCATCAACTGCAAATGCTTCATATGCAAATTCAAAATTATCCTCAATTTCAACAAGTTCAAGTGGTTCAGTCTCAACCTCAAATCATACAAGTAAGATACTTAAAATATTTAAATTTTTTTAATCATCGACTTAATATTAAAATGTTTTTTTTTAAGGTGGCCTCACAAGCCAATGAACCTACGCCAGTATACATATCTCAACCAACTATTAATCCATCGTCAAGTCCAGAATAAATTATTGCAAATAAAATAAAACAAAAGTTATATATTACGTAAAATATTTAGTAAATTGTTTGGTCATTCTGTAAAATAATTTTAATATACAAATATTATTACAGGTTACAAAGCAAAATATACAATGTATTACATTTCACCAACATTTTATTCAGATTTCAGTGTTGACATTTTTATCACAAATACCTACCTACCAAATCAACCTACCATTTATGTCTATTAAACTTGTACTAAATCCTTGACCCTTCTCAACATTCTGGTGAAAAATTATTGTCATAACTATAACCAATGTTATCCAAGTTGTAAATAATTTATCATTAGTGAGTAATTTTTATATTTTTTAATCTCAAATTTTGTATTGACCATCATTTAATTGGTTCTTTGAAGTTTGAAAAAAATACATTGTTCATGGGATTATTTTATAAATTCTCATTTTGATCTGATAATCATACAATCATACGGCTGTAAAAAATGATACCATTTTATTTTTATAACTCTGTAAAATATAAATTGTGAAGTAAATAACAAACATATAAAGAGACAGAATAATTAAACCAGAGACGGTATTCATTACTAAAGTGTAAAAACACATATTTATAACTCCAGTTACAACATTGGCAAATAAAATGAAAAATAATAAATTATCATTTATACTATCTATAATGAGTGAAATTCTATTGAATTCGCCCATTCGTCCTATCTTATGTAAAAGAACATTTATGAAGTTTTCAATCATAATGGACATGAATAATAGATACAAAGATATAGATAATACCCAGTAAACATAAACAGCATTATCTAATCTTCTAGAAACACCAAAAACAAAACTAATGGCGAATATCAAAATAAATAAAGCAATAGATAAAGAAGCAGTTACTATTAAAAGGAACATATTGTTTATTAAATGATTTTTATTCATAAAAACAGAATACCATGATTTCATTGACAAGGAATATAAAATATTGCTTCATAGCCTATTAATAATAAAATGCCTTCATGGTTCGCTGAGAACAGTGTGTCTCATAACTCAATCGGCTAGACCAAAATTCAATGCTAAGTCATAAATAATGACCAGAATTGTGGCAATACCAGATAGACAACAAGTACTGACAAATGGTAAAATAAAAAGATTAATTATTTTTAGGAATACTAAAGTCATGAAAAATTCCAATGTACACCATACTAGAAATACATCTGCTTTTGATACAAAATGAGTACAACCAATTCCCAACAAATGTAATGGTAAGACTTGCTTGAAAACTTTGAGTACATTTTTCCTTATATTCTGTGTATTGGGAATACTAAACAATAATGCATTAGAACAGACATAACATCCTATACCTATATCCATTACACCGTGTCCATATGTTTCAGTTTTAGCGAACCACCGCGCAGTGGAAACACATTGAAATCTACTGCCAATATACAAAATACTGTATATGTATTGAGCATAAATCTATAAACAGTCATGTAAGGATTTTTTTTTTGTTTTAATAGTACTCGATGATAGATAATTGTGGTTCAAAAACATCCAAGTATATGCAACACTACTTAAATAATAATAAATACTATTTACCAAAATGTTGAAGTTATTTTATTCAGTGACCTTATTGAGCCATTGAAGCATTTCAATCGATTAAATTTAAAATATTAACTTCTAGTTACCTACATTAGTTACCTAGTTACTCGTTACCAACAAGTTATGGTTAATACTGTAAAAGCTTTTAACAAGTATCAGTAGTATCACTAATTAATGAGAAATTGGTTGGTTCATCATTCCCAATATAGTATAAAACTAAATGGCCATAATGGTATAACAAATATTAAATAAAAATAAAAAACAGTAATGAATATTAAATAACGGTCAATAATTTAGTAATCAGTGATTCCTAACCTACTGAAGTACCTAGTGACAAGTGGATACAGTAGGCTAGTGACCAAGATTTACGATAATGTAGGTAGGTACTTCATAGATACATTATCTTAAATTGTGCTATATACCTATAGTTGTTAGTCGCTAGTGCAGTAGTGCCTAAGCCTATATGAGCATATGGCTATATCACAGAACAATATTATGGTATTCGGCATTTAATCTCTTTTCTATGATTTCGGATGTCTATTCGTGAAAGGACAGACTTATGTTATGTATAGAAATCTGTGCGTGAAACACAGTAAACGACATTATTATCAGTTATCAATTTACTTTTTTTTCGTTCATTTTGTTCCAAACAGTATGCCAGTTCTAATGCATTCAATCTTGTTACTATGGTCATATAACATATTATTAATTTTCTGTATTGTATAAAGCATCACCATTCTGCAAAAGCTGCTATTGAAATATCGAATTACCACTTGGACATTGGTATTAATAAATTATATGCAATACCTAAAATTGTATTGTATTTTAAACGACAAATTACTTATTATTATTTTAGTTATAAGGTACCTACTTACTTATTATTTATATATTTTTACTAAATAATTTGTATTGCTATCTAAACCTAATAATATAATATAACTAGGTATATTATAATAAAATGAATAAACTGAAAAAAAAATAAAGGAATACCTACCTACCTAAAAGGTCACGCAAACAAACCTAAAAGTATAAAAACCAAATAATTAGAGTTGTTTAGTGATGATAATTGTTAAAATCTATTAAAATATTCATTATTTAAGTTATTTTTGTTAATAATGACTTAGTCTTAAATATTAGCAGTTCTCTCCGTGTTCCTCCACAAATTGTTTTTTTTTTTATTATTCTTAATTTAATAAACTTTTATACTTTTGGCATTTATGATTTATCCTCAAGTGATTTCTGACTGTCTCTGAGTAATTATTATTCAATGACGAATTTAATAATTATTAAATTAATGGGATTAGAAATTTGAATAATAGACTGCAGTTTCCTACTTCTACTACAAAATCATATTATATTATTTTTTTTTGTTTTTAATTTTAAATATACCCATAATAAAATAAAATTGATACAAATGCTTTAGCAGAAATTTGTCAAGGGGACTGGGGAGGGAAAAATATTTTCCTTTTTAATTTTTTTGTTTCACTATCCTATTAGTGATAAATAGGGCCAGGAAGTTCATACATTTGGATGTTTTTTTTTAAAACATTATCTAGATTTATTGGTAAGTGAGCTAGAAATGCATTCCAAGACACTACGAAAAACATATCGAAGGTTTATAGTGCATATTTTTGCATATTTAGTGGTTTTTAAATTTTAGAGCATATTTCTTAATTTTACAATATTTTAGAGCATATTTTATAATTTATGAAGATTCAGTATAATACAGTAAATAAAATAATTAATAAATTTATATTGAGAGAACTTACAAGATATTCTTATATCTTATTATTCAGATTTCCATTTAACACTAAAAACAATATTTTTTCAAAGTTGGTTGATATAATATATTTATAAATTTTAACTATAGGTAGGTAGCTTAATCATCGGCTTTATCTTATTACATCGATAGACGGGCATGGATGTCGGCGTTTAACATTTTTAACTGGCTCAATACAATATTTCATTACGATAATAATAATAATTTCTTTATTTCTTTTTCTTTATTACGGAATAAATTCCAATAACAATAATAACAAAATAAAAATAATAATAATCAAAAAGTTATAAGTAGTTTAGAAAGTAATTATTTAAATAACAATAATAATGAAATACAAGAAAATGCTTATCGAGAGTACTTAAGGAAATAAATCAAAATGTATTGCAGTGTTACCCGCAGACATTAAAATGTTAGCAGGACTGTGTGACATATATTTAGTTTTAAAATTTGACAGATAAAATGTATGTTTAATTCTAGAGTTAATTGTATTTACCTTAAAGTTTAATTCTCCAAGGAGTTCTGGACAATCGATCATATTATGCAATAATTTAAATAGGAATCTTAAATTTAATGTAAGGTATCTATTTTTTAAAGAATCAATTCTAAAAAAATTACTGATTATATTATATCCCGAATGAGGGGATCTTTCCACATTACATTTATATGACAGATATCTTAAAAAATTATTTTGAATTGAGGAAAGGCTGGTATTTTGACCTATATTATCGGTGTGCCATATTAATGAAGCATATTCTATTTGAGATCTGACTAAAGAAAAATATAAAGTTTTTAATGCTGAGCTATCGTAGAAATCTATACAAATGCGTTTTAGAAGACCTAATTTCATAAATGATTTATTACGAACGTAATCAATATGCTTATTAAAAGACAGTTTTGAATCAAAAATCACACCTAAGTCTTTGGTAGTATCATCATGGGTTAAGCTAAGTTTATTCAAGGAGTAATCAAAATATAAAGTAGATTTTTTTAATGAATATGAAACAGTGGAGCATTTATTAATGTTCAATGTCATACCATTCTCGTGGCACCATTTATAAAAGTTATCTAAATCAATTTGAAAGTTGTTAGAATCATCAATACAATTAATTATTTTGAAAAGCTTAGTGTCATCAGCAAGATAAGTTATCGACTATCGTAATATAGCCATATAGATAGTTATCCTTATCGCGGATAACGATTATTTCGTCTTCGGTTGACGTGGAGCGGAGGTTTTCGGTGAACAAAAATATGTTGGCATAATATAACAGTCGGTCGTTTATATTTGATAATAACTAGCTGATCCCGTGCACTTCGTCGCCCGTTAAATGGATCAACTCAATACTACCTACTCAAACTTTGTTCAATTCATTATTCAATATTCGGTGTATGGTGTTCAAAATTTATCTTATCTTTCCCGTTGCCCTGAATAAAAATTCTGAATCGCAGCAGTACATTATCAGGTAGGCAATCTACCTGCGGTAGATCGCGGACCCCGTGCTGTTTGTACGGAAGTGTATGATTTAACTCTAAAGTATCAAAGTTATACCAAGTTTATTTTGATGTAATACTGTGGATTAATATAATAAATTTGGTTGCTCGTAAAAAATCGCAACTCTTTAAAAAATTATGATTGTTGAACTC